CAAATCTTATTGATAATCCCTTAATCTTGATGCTTGTTATTGTTTGGACTTATTTAAATAAATTCCAGGTTTTACTGATAGTTATGATGCACATATTTTAGGTAGTACAACAGTATCTCCAGTTATGACACATATTTAATTTTTATACTCCAATTGTTACTCATCGAACCTGAACTTTCATGTGGCATTTAATATATTAGCTACAGTTCATTCATTCCCTTATTCTTTCATTTCTTCATTCAAGAAATGTTTATGAAGTGCCTATTGTTTGTAATACATTGAAATAGTTACTAGATAAAAGTTTAGATAAAATATGGCCTTCGAACTCGTGAAGCTTCCAGTCTAGTAAGGGGATAGAATTAATCTGGAGAGAATGTAATTAATGGGAGGAACCTTCCTTTCCTTTTTGTCTTCTCACCCCCAGGGCCTGTCACATAGGAGGCTCTTAGTAAATACCTATTGCTTAGTTGATATATGCAGATAATTATAATATACAATAAGTGATAAGTGCTTTGAAGAGTTGCAAAAGGACATGCTATAAAAAGTCTGAGGGGAAGATAGTAATAGGAGGATCACAGAGTCTTCTTGGAGGTGAAAACTGAGTTGAGTTTTAAAAGATGGGTAGGAATTCAATAGTCAAAGGGAGTTGGGGGAAGGCAATGTTCTACAATTGTGTAGAAACATGAATAAAGGCATAGAGGCAGCAAAATGTAATATGTGTTAGGGGAAGGAAAGTAGTCCAGTTTGGTTGTGTATATGGAAGGGAGTAATATAAGGATGGAAATTTACCAGATTGTGGAGGGTCTTGAAAGTTGGGATAAAGATATTGTACTTTACTCAATAAGCAATAGGGAATCCTTCATGATTTTTGAGCAGAAGCATAACATGACTAGCTCAATACATAAGGAAGATTAGTCTGGAGGATCATGAAAGACTGAATGGAAGGGACAGATCATAAGATCATAACTTAACTATTGCAGGAAGCTTGGGGTCATCTGGTCCATCTCTCTATTTTATAGATGACGAAAGTCAGAACAAGAGAGGCATGGCTTGCCTATGATCACATAGTAAGCTGTAGTGCTGGGATCTGAATACAGGTTCTCTAACTCCATATCCAGAAGACTTGTTTGAAAGCTCAATGGTAGTTGTCTATAGTTCTTTAATCACCATCAACAAAAAAGCATTAAATACTTGCTTGCATATGGCATTATCCTAGGTACGGAATAAAATCTAAGACTGACATGTTATCTGCTGTAAGGATTTGGACACATGGCTCTTTCTGGCTCTGCTTTTGACTCTTTGGATTTTACTACCAGATACCGGTTGCCTTCTCACCCTGGAAAATCCCTCCATTCCTTTGGCTTCTTCTTCTATTGGTGAATTCCTCTCAGGGTATAAGTAAGGGCTTAAAACATGCCACTGTTTCCCTACTTGCCTTCCATTGCTCATTATACCCCAAGCCCTATGCAATATAAGGGAAAGGTGATTGGGAAAGCAGGGTGCAAATAAAAACTTCATTCAGTCAAGGCAGCTTACAGCAGTCTATATCATTGAGATTACCCTTTCTTCTGACCTATTAGTTTTGCATTTGGTCCCTCCATTTAACTATCTGGTTTATCATACTTTGACTTTAGACTTTAGACTCATCTCAGTGGTTCCTGAGGTGATTTCCTCTTACTATCTGCCCTGCCCTGGCTTCTTTATATCTGGATCAGTTTCTTTGGCCTAACTGCCAGAAAACAAAAGTGTCCTAGCCTTTGGGGAAGTTTCAGTTTTGGAATTCCTACTTTGGAGCTCAATAGTCTTGACTGGTGAGTGAGCTAGAACAAGTTCAATTAGTCCATTTTATCTAATCAGAACATACTTCACTTCTCTTCCAGCCATCTATCCTAGATATTTTGCCATCTATCTTCCATCTCTTCTCACTTTCCACTTCTTATTCTGGGATTCACTTTAAGTCCTAGCTAAAATCCCATCTTCTGCAGGAAACCTTTCTGAATTCTTCTTAATGCTAGTTTTTTTTTCCTCTGTTGATTACTTTTAATTCATCCTTTATATATTCTGTTTGTATGTAATTGTTTTCATGTTGTGCTCCTCTCTATCTCCCTGTGATCTTTTTGAGAGCAAGGACTGTCTTTTGCCTTTCCTTGTATCCCTAACACTTAGCTCAATACCTGGAACATAATAGATACTTAATAAAGGCTTATTGACACCCATATATATAGTCTCCACTATGTATATGTATACCTTTCATAAGGTACTATCTTATTGGTATAGTGGAAAGAACATTGTCTGGAATCAGAAGTCCTGAGTGAAAATCCCAACTCTGACACTACCTGTGTGACATTGCTCAAGTCACTTAACCTCAATTTTCTCATCTATAAAATGAAGAGGTTGGAATAGAAGGCCTGTGAGGTGTCTTCCAATTCTGGATCCTAGATTATTTATAATTTCTGTATTTTAATCATCATTGCTTAGCACAGTGCCTAGCACATTATAAGCTCCTTAATGAATATTTTCATTCATTCATTCATTCATTCATTCATTCATTCATTCATTCATTCACTTACTTATCCATCTATCTAGTGGTATGCTAGTAAATGTTTAATAACTGACTCTCCAAAAATAGAATAGACTTTTTAGTTTAATATGCATTATTAATATTTTATCCATTACTTCCTTAAGTCTAGGCAATAAAAAAAAATAAATCAAGCCCTGATTTATAGTGTTTTCCAGTTGCCACAGGGTAAATGGAGACATTGAAATTTAACAATCAGCTCTCACAAATTGGTACAAGGTGGCTCCAGCACACCCGCCCATTACTCCCTGCTGTGAGGTTCTTTTGTGATTTTACATGTGCCTAGAATTTCTAGTTCCTTAGTGAGCACTAATTACCATTATTCCTTCCTCCCCTTTCCCTGCTCCTTCCTGAAACTACTACACTAATTAGAAACCCAGCATGACTCAGGACAACATCTAAAAATTCTTCCTGTTTAGGACTTCATTTACCTTTGGGCAGAACATCTGTCCCCTAGAACTCACAATCTCAGACAATACTAACAAACCTGGATATTATGGGACTTATAGACAGCAAAATTTTTTTAAAAGTAAAATCATTTTTCTATATCCATTACTGCTACTATCTTATATAAGAGGCACGGAAGAATGATGGATAGAAGATCTGCTGCATGGTCAGAGAGATCTGAGTTCAAATCCTGATTCTGCCACATGCATGACCAGAGGCAAGTTGTTTACTTTCTCAACAACTTCAGACAGCCCTCTAAGACAGTTGCTGTTGTTAACTCGCAAAGATACTGGAGTGGTTTTCTTGGCAAAGATAATGGAGTGGTTTGCCATTTCCTTCTCCAGTTCATTTTACAGATTAGGAAACTGAGGCAAACATGGTTAAGTGACTTGCCAAGAGTCATACAGCTAATAAGTACCTGAAGCTGGATTTGAACTCAGGTCTTCCTAACTTCAGACCCAGTGCTCTATCTACTTCGCCAATATATTATTAACTAATTAGTGCTCTCCATTAGGGAAAAGAGTTCCTGATATCTATGAATTCACAAATTTGGAACAGAGATTGAGACTAGGATCAAAATGTGACAGTTTTCTTTCAAGCTATGTTCTCCAAACTTCATGACTATTCCTTTTGAAGCAGCACAGGACAATGGAAGCATGATGACTCTGGAGTCCTGAGGTCTGGGCTTGATTTTTTGCTCTGTAACTTATTATCTTGGGCAAGTCTCTTAACCTATCCAGGCTTCAGTTTCCTTATCTGTAAAATGAGTGATCTTTGTGGCCCATTTCAGCTACAAGTCTATGAACCTGCATAGGATCACAAGATAGAACTGGGGATGGGTGGGACCTCAGAAATCATCTAGTTCAATTCCCTCATTTTACAAATGAGGAAATTGAGACCCAGTGAGGTTGTTACTTGTCCAAGGGTGGTGGTAAGCATTAATCGGTCAATCAACATTTCTTAAGTATCTTCTATTTGCCAAGCACTATGCTAAGTGTTGGAGATACAAAAAGAGGCAAAAAATAGTCTCTGTCCTCAAGGAGCTCATGATCTAGTGGAGGAAACAACATGCAAACAAATATATACAACCAAATAGAGGATAAATAGGAAATAATTAGAAGGAAGGCACTAGAATTAAGATAAGGTTGGAAAAGCCTTCCTGGAAGACATGGTATTTTAGATGAGACATAAAGGAAGCCAGGAAAGTCAGTAGGCAGAGCTGAGGAGGAAGAGCATTCTAGGCATGGTGGACAACAAGAAAAAAATTCCCTGAATTAAGACATGTTCATGGAGGAACCAGGAGGCCAATGTCATTGGATTGAAGAGTGTGCAGGGCCTCTGACTCAGGCACTGTACTATAATCATAATCATAACCTGCCTTTTAATCATATTTATATGTGTATATATGTATTATATATATATGTCTATAGTTATGATCAGATTATTTTATTTTCCTGAAATTAATTTCAGTCCTCAAATTGCAATTTTTTAAAAAAATGATATGATGTTAGAAAGTCAATGGGATTTGGAAGTCTTTTTTTTTTTGCAAGCACAGTAAGTCCTTATAATAAAATAGATATATTATTTATTCATATATTAACAGCTTACATCAAAAGGACTTGCATGATTTTATGACCCATGTGGAATGATGAGTTCATTAGTGTCTGGGGGCATCTAAATGATGGAGAAAATCCAGTGAGAGTTTGTTGAAGAGCAATGATATGATTTGTTTGTTGTTTAAATCAACTGACTGTTAATTGGTTTAGAAAACTACCAGAGATCTCAGCTTATTCAAAATAGTAGCTGACATGATACAGATATTCATTTATGTGTAATCCAGATCATTATAGAATCCATTAGCTCTTCATACTGCTTTGCCCATTTCAGGCTCCATCTCCCTGATCTGCAAGACTTGTCTTTTGTGGTAGATAACATGTCATGATTACTTTTCAGATGAGTAGGTTTTATGACTTACCTTGTCCAGATAGACCCTCAGTACTGAATCCTAGATGAGGCAGTTCTGTGATGCCAGTTGTTTGCTCCTCTTCTATTTCTTGATCTATCAAGAAAGGACCTTTAGTACTCTCCACAGCACTGGGAACTCTTTCAGAATGGTGTTCAGTCAAAGCGTCCTCTCCTACAGTTTCCTTTCCAGATTCAGGTGCTTCTGGAAACACTGATGGCTCATAGGTCAGAAGGGTTGGTGGAGTCAAATTCACGGGGCTCACAAGAGTTTCATCAGCTGTCTTGGAAATAGGGAATTCACTTGATAAATATTGCTCTGATCTTTCTTCTGTCTCAGACTTGGGGTGACCAAGTGTAAACCCAAGATTCAAGGTAGCATCCTGGAAAATGGGTTGAGAGAGAGAGAGAGAGAGAGAGAGAGAGAGAGAGAGAGTAAAGATTATATTAAATGAGCTTTCATTCCCATCATCTCTACTAGAATGCATGCTTCTTGGGGCATGGTACATGTCTATAATCCCTGCTGCCTGGGAGGCTGAGGCTGACAGATCTTTTCAGCTTAGGCGTTCTGAGCTTCAGTGAGCTTTGCTGAGCGAGAGTCCACACTAAGTGTGGCAGCATCGAGGGGAAGCCTCTAGGTTGCCTATGGAAGAGGCAGCCAGCCCAAATTGGAAATAGAGTAGGTCCAAGCTTCCGTGAAGATCAGTGGTGGGTTTGGACCCATGAATAGCCCCTGCCTTTCTAGTGTTCCTGAGATGGGGAGATCCAGTCTTTAGAAAAGTAAGAAAGGCAGGAAGAAAGGAAGGAAGAAAAAAGGAAGGAAGGAATAAAGTGGGAAGTAATAAAGGGAGGAAAGAAGAAAGGAAGGAAAGAAGAAATAAAGGAAGCAAAAAGAAAGAGCTTATGTTCTTTGAGAGTAGGGAATGTGATTTTTAAGAGTGTTTTTTTTTTTTGGTCTTTCTTTGTAATCTCAATGCTTATTCTAGTGCCTGGCTAGTAGTAAGCATTCAATAAATGCTCTGTTGATTGACTGACTTAAAATTTACTTGTACTTGATTTCAGCTAAATCTTGTCTTTTATTTCTTTAAACTCTATTACAAAGGCTTATACTAAAAATATTGCTTTAGTTCATGTTGGAAGCTTCTTATCTGTTCCTGTAACTTTTACTTTATTTTAAAGACCTATAGGGATCAACAATAAATGAAGATATGTATGAATTTTATAGACAAGATTGCATTTCATGCCCAGAGCCAAACTTAGACAATACTTTAATTTGGGACATATCTATGATCAAATCACATTTGTTAAAAATAGGAAAAATGCAGAACATTCTGATTAATTTGCAGGAACAATTGATTGACATCATACAAAATATAAATTTACTAGCAAATTGTCATAAAGATTATTGCATAATTGGTGAATGGGATTGAAAAATGAGATGATTTAGTAAGAGCAACCAATAAGGCACTTCTTTCATTTGGATGATTATGTTTTCAGAAGGAATCTTTTTTTTTTTTTTTGCTATAGCAGGCATTAAAACCTAATATTGAAGTAACCTGAATTTAAAATCAGACCTTAAATTTTGCTTTGTCATAGTGCTCTGCTTAGTGAGGTGGTGATTTTTGTTTTTATTTTTTGGTAAGAAGATTTTAAATACTTTACATCTTGTTTAAAGAATTGAGGTCACTTACCAATGAGTGTTCAGCAAGGGTAGTAGTCATTACTGATTGGGTGTCATGTTCCAAGCTCTCTGGAGGCTTTTCAATTTCTGCAGGGGGAAAACATGATGCATTTTGGTGGCAGTGAGCATCAGGATAGGGCCTTAAAACTCTCAGAGTTATGTTTGAAGTCCAGTAGAACTGTGATATAAGGAATCAAAACAAAGCTAATGCAAACTAAACTATGATTAACTGAAAAACAGATGTGAATGGAAAGGACCACATGTTTATGTAACAAGAACAGTTTACACAGTGGAAATTTATACTATTTAATTATATGTTACAAATCTAAGAGGCGCCACGAAGACCAGGTGGCCAGGCCAAAGGGCCTAAATTATCAGTGAACTTAAGGGAAATGATAAGAACTGGGATCAAGAATTCTTTAAACTGATTCAGGTGCAACCAAAGCTTGGCTGACTTTTCTAGAAAATAGAAACAAGAAATATAATGCAGAGAATGAGAGCAAGAGCATCTCTTGTGTTGTGGGTCTGAATTTCATCTCTTATGGTCTAGAGGAATTTCACTGCGCTATATTTAGCCCTGAAAGATCTACTTATAGGTATTACATGAACACCTCCAAGAAAATCCTAATCTTGTGGTAGGAAATACAGAGGTAACCCTGGGTTTTCAGAAGTTATGCCAGGGGAGTTCAAATTCTAAATGGTTCTATCAAATTGGAAAGGCTTACAGTGCATCCAACCCTTGCCATAAAAACTTTCCATAAGGCAAAAATCTGTATAGCCTATGGCCATACCTGAAAAGGACTGTGATTCAAGGAGAGGGCTCACAGAGACTGCCAAATATTCCTCTCTCTCCCTTGTACAAAGGGCCTATGGATAGAATCAGAGGATCTAGAGCTGGAAGAGACCTTCCCAGGGTATCTAGTCTAGCACTTTCATTTTACAGATGAGGAGACGAAAGCTCAGGAAGGTTAAGTTAGTTGCCCAAGGTCACACAGATGGCAAAACTCCAACACAGGCTGGAAATCATGTTCTTTGACTCTAAATTCAGTGCTTTTTCCACTGGAAAGTTCTTAGAAGAATGGGAGAGCCTAGCAAGCAAGAAGAACGAGGAAATCCTTGTAAACAAGAGTTACGAGTACAGAGTGTTGGAGAAGTGTGAGCTGAGCAGAGAGGGTTAGTGACTGATGGCACATTATTTCTCTGCCTCCTCCCTCTCTCTCCGGGTAGGTAGCTGAAAATTCCCATGGGTTGTTTACTCTCTTTAACTTCCTGTCTTCCCTCTGTGCAAAGAAAGCCTTAGCTTTTGTTCTAAATGCACACAGTAATTTCTACAGTTTTAACTTGTGATAAAAATATTGGCCAACAGAAATCCAAGCTGAGATTAATACTTAGTGCTCATGTAATTAGACCGAAGGGAAAGTGAAAATATTCCCTGTTTTAGAAAGATGAAGAATTTGCTCCGGATATGGGGTTGGCTGAACCAGGATGGGAGTTATCAGGACAATATGAAGAGTACCTCAGGGCAGCTAGGTGGTGCAGTGGATAGAGCACCAGCCCTGAAGTCAGGAGGACTGAAGTTCAAATTTGACCTCAGACCAAACACTTGATACTCACTAGCTGTGTGACCCTGGGCAAGTCACTTAACCCCAATTGCCTAAAAAAAAATATGAAGAGTACCTCCTTGGGAATACATGATGGAGGGGTTCTCTCTTTCATCCTGCTTTCCCCACCCCTCCTCCCCCTTCAGAGCAGTGCTGTCCATATCCTCTGACTGTTCTTCGTGTCTGCTGAGAACACTTTTAATTGACTGCTGAGCTGGATATCACAGGGTGATTGCCTCTCAAATCTACCTTTCCTGCTTTGGAAAATTACTTCCCATCATCTTCTTTGCCAATAAGTGGATACATTTGTACTGGACTGTTACAAGTCTGACAAAAGAATATGAAACTCAGACACTGCTAGTTTTAAAAAAAAAAAGCCCCTAGTCAGGGATTGAGCTTAGGCAGGCATTTTACCTTTCCTTGGAAGAAACCATTTGGCAAGTTGGGTTTGAAGAGAGGCTATGCCCCTATGAAAGAATGAGTAATGAGTTGCTTAGAAAAATAAATCCATATCTCTGAAAGGGAATGAGTTGCTAGGGAAGCTCCAATCACACAAAAGAAGAGGTCAGCAAGTTCTCTGGACAGGCTCAGACAGATCCTCTCCCTCAGGGGATGATTGACAGGTGAGTCTGCCTCGCTTATCATTCTGACATAGCCATGATGATAATAGCTAGCATTTATATGGCACTTGAAGGTTTGCAAAGCATTTTACTTGATCCTCACAACAACCTTGTAAGGTAGGAGCTATTATTATCCCCCTTTCATAGTTGAGGAAACAAGCTGAAAGACGTTGTGACTTGCCAAGGGTCGTACAGCTTGTAAATATCTAAGGCTTCAAACTTGGGTCTTCCTTACTCCAGGTTCAAAACTCTATCCACTTCACCACTTAATTGCATCTATCAGCATGATGAAAACCTTCGTTCATCTATTTATAGGTATGGCTCGTGTCTACTATATAGAGGTAAAAATCCATAAAGTGAAAAAATGGATGAAAGGAAAAATGTATACTGTGAATGGCTGTGTATCACATGGTGGATGTGTAATATTGGCAGTGGACTGTGTCTTCTGTCTGGGAGAGATGATTTTTTTTTTTTGCCTATGGCTACCCAGGAAACTAATAAAGGAAAGGGGGATTGACATATAATGTCCACCTAGTCTACACCATGTGGAAACATCTGAGACACTGCTAAAATGACTGCTCATTTTTTGGGGGGAGGGGGTAGCAATTACTTCAATAAAAACACTGAGTTCTTTGGCTGTCCAGCCAATTGACACTGTTATACCCATTTCATAGCGCATGCTTGACAATTGAGACAGTTGCTTTAGATCAAGACTCTTGTATTAAAGTTGTAACTTGCTCTGGTCCCTGTAACCACCTCACCCCCTTTATAGTTTGTATACTGTTTATGAGCAGCAAGTATAAAATAGCAATAGCAGGAATATTGCAAAGGGGAACCAAGAAGGCAGAGACTGTCCCATAGATCAAAGGAGCATAATAGTTACTTGCAAATGATATCGTATATTAACTAAAAATCACATTCCTAGAATACATGCTAAATCAGAGGAAGACAGTTAAGAGCTTTTTGGACCTGATAACATTATGTAAGCCTCAGATAAACTCCAGAATCCTCAAAAAGACCACCAGAACACCAAATATTGCTGATAACTTTGAGGTGATGTGGGTGTGTCAAGGAACTAACCCCAACGTGGCACAGGCAAGTCTATTCCCCACAAACCCCCTATAAAATGAGGCTCCAAACTCCTGCACTCAGAATACTCCTCCATCTCCATCTGGGTCCATGTAGCTGAGTGCTCCCAACTCTAATCCGTAGTTATATAAGTGATTCTCATTTCTGCACTGTCTTTCCCATGCTGCCTGTCTTCCACCACTCCATCCCTATCACCAAGCTAGCTGTCTCTGTACCACCACCACCACCACCCCTACCACCCCTCCCCTGGTCACTCACTGTTTGTCTCTGTACATTTTGTGCTGTTTGCCTCTGCACCTTTTATGTCTTACTAAAGTGTGATCAAAGCCTTTCTCCCCACTGCTATAATTTCCTGGCAAGTACCCAAAGAATTCGACATGCATGCTCCACTTAATAATTCCATAAATTAATTAGCAATTCAGCTCTATACCCAAGATAGCTTGAGCTCAGGAGAATTTCTAGGGGTGAGATCATGCCAATGAGAGTGTTCCTAAAACATCAGAATCAGTAGAGATGAGTGGTGCAGGTGGTCTGATTTGAGCTGCCCGTGAACTTCCATGGACTATATCATAGCCATGGAAGCAGGAGGATTCTGAAATTGGTTGGCCTCCCTGGGTTTTTCCTGTACTAGCAAGATGGACCAAGGGCTAGAATGAATTGCAAGTGTAGTCCTAGAGTTTCTTGTTATTCCTCTTTAGGAACAGACCCAAGATTGAGTAGAAATGAGTGGCAGAAGCACTGTGGACATGTGCTCTCATATCTACCTCAGAAATAGGTCACAGTCCAGGAGAATTAGGAGGCTAGAGACCAAATGGTACAATGACAAGTGTGTTGGATTTGGTGTCAGAGAAATAAGGTTCAAATCTTCCTTCTGCCACTTATTATCTGTGTTACTTAACTTTTCTGGACTCATTTTCCTTATCTGTAGGATGAGAGTATTAGAATAGATGACTTCTGAGGTCCCTTCTAGTTCTAAATCTCTGATCTAAGTATGAGGTGTGGTGATAAAGTTATGAAAACTGCAAATGTTAATCTCATAGACATTGGCGGAGAGATCAGATCAGAACCCTTCCCCTCACTCCCCATTACTGACAGATTCTTCAGGGGTTCTCATTATAGCAGCATCTCATATATACAGTACATGATAAACCATCATGCTAAGTGTTGGGAGAACTAGGTGAAGGATTCTCAGTTCTTATAAAACCTGGAAAATGTCAAGTGACTGCTAATCATATAGCATATCTGAGATGTTGCTAGGAGGTCCCTAACTCCTTGTGACCTTGGGTGAGTCATCTGACCGCTCTGGTCCTCAGTTGCCTTATCCATAAAAGGAAGAAGTTGGATTAGATGGTCTTTTAGGGCCCTTGCAGCTATAGCATTCTATGGCTGATCTACAGGCTAAGCCCACAGCTATAACTGTTGACTGACCATCAGTAAACTGAATTGTTCCCAGTTCCAGAGACTTGTCTTCCTCTAGAGCTGTGGTAATTAGTTGCTGCAGCCCTGCTGAGGTGAGACTGCTTTCTTGAGGTTCTTCCTCCTCCAAGCTCCCAGGCTTGCTTGCATTTTCAATTTCATTAGGGTGAATGGTTGACAGGTTGCCGCTGGGCCTTCCTCTTTCTGATCTGTCTCTCTTAAAGATCACCAGCTGTCGAGCAACTGTGCTGCTTGAGCTGCAGGGTGGGAAAAGACATGACCCACCAAGAGCCATCTGTTACATGCCAAGAAAATTCTGAAAGATCTTTGCCCTTCGAAAGGGCTTTGCCCTGAGGGAAGGGCCATGTTTCTATTCCTATTAGGATCCCAGTCCTCAGGGATCCCACTCTCCTACAGATGGCCTGGTCTAGTTTCAGCTAAAATCTCCTGCCCAACTCCCACACCAACCTCTGGGCATCTATTTTTCTGTTCCTGCACCTACCAGCTCACACTAATTCTCCCCACCCTTGCCATGACAGGAAGGAAACCTCAGCTTCTATTCACCCTGAGTATACCTGTACTTCAAGTCATTCCCATCCCTTCTCTCTGTTCTATGCTAATAAACAAAACAAAACAAAAAGATTATGGAATCTGATGCTTGAATCTCAAAGTGAGACAAAGTGACTCTGTAGATATGCCACTGAGAACAGAGAGAGATATATAGTGGCTTAAGGGCCAGCTTTAGAATCAGTAAGATCCAGGTTCAAGTCCTGACTTTGACACATATTATCCAGTTCCTCATGCAGATCACTTGACTTCTCAGTGCTTCAGACAACTCTAGTACTATAAGTTGCATACAAATTGTTACTCTGCTCGAGGACAAGAATTATTTCTCTTTCTCTCTGTGTTTTTTTTTCTGCACTTGTATTCCCAACACTTAGTAGGGTATAATACAAGTAGGGTTAATACATGATTTTTCATTCATTTATTCATTGGTAGAAGGAATTTCTACACTTAAAGTCTTCCTGTCCCCAAAGCTATTATTACAAAACTTCAGGCCAGCTGTAATTTTGTTGGTATAGAGACACATTAAAAAAGGAATATCAAACATTCATTGAGATTTGAAAAGCTGGTTAACTTTAATATACCATGGGAAAATGATAAAACAGCTCAAGATCTGGAGTCATTAGACTTGGGTTTGAATCCTGACTCTGCTATTTTTATAATTTAATAATAAGGTCAGTGTGACTTTGGTCAAGTCACTTGACCAAACTTCTGGTTCTCAGCTTCCCTCGTCTGTTAACTGAAGGACTAGATGACCTCTAAGGTCCCTAAATCATGGAATCTATGACAGGTTGTAGTATAGATAGTACATATATGAGGGGCAGTTTAGGTGCTTGTTTGGTAATGGTTTAAGCTCCTCTTCCTCAGATATCTACTTTTGGTTTTCTACAAGAGCTAAGCTAAAGAGAATCAATCAGCATGAAAGTCAGAGAGTCCTCCTTTTTTTTTTTTTAAAGAAGGAGGCCACCTTTGAAATGTGTATAAGGAAACAAGGCAGCAGGATGCATCTCCATTAATGTAATTGTCATTAAGAAGGATAATTTAGTGTCCAGGAATGTTAATCATCCACTTTTCTCAAGTAGCAAAATTTTTTAATTAAAACAAAAATAGCTAGCATGTTATTTCTTCTTTATGTCACCTTGGAATAAATATTGAGAAGGAGGTGAGGAGAAAGAGGAATCCAAGGAGGCATCCTCAATGTTATGATCAGGAGGTTAATGAAGTCTCTTTTAACATACTAATCTGGGCTACAAATACTTGATGTAGAAGAATCTGCCCTCTAGGGGTTTACCATCACACAATTTGCAACTTTTCTTCTATGCAATAAGCCCCTGCAAAGTTCCATAGAGTTGTTGTAAGGGTCCTAAGTAAGAGCTCCCTAGGTATTTTCTGGAGTGCTTTGGCTGACGCAATCGATGAGACAAGATTCTATAGTTCATTATTTTACTAGTCAATTATAGGAGTTTGTTGCTTATTCCAGAGCTCTCCAAGACAGAGTAGGTTTTTTCACAGTTTAAACTGACCTTGGTATAGGGATAGCAAATTAATGTCTGCACTACTCCAGATTCAGGGTGCATATCTATAGGTGCACATGGACAGCTTCCTATACCACGGATGCTCTTTTCAAGCATGGTATTCCACAATGACACACATTTCTCAATAGACCTTAAGTTTTGTAGGGTAATTTTTAGCTTGTTAGATATGTTAGAATAAATGCCGCATTAGAATATAAACTCTTTGAAGGCAGACTTTCAGTTTTGCCTTTGTATTCTCAGTGCTTGACCCAGTGCCCAACATGCAATAGATGATTAATAAATGCTTATTGATCGATGGCTAGATTGATTCACTGGTTCAATTTACCTGTTTATCTTCTATAATGGAATGTTTTTAGGCTAAAAATTCCCTCCTCCAACCCATGCTGGTGATAAAGTTAAGTGATTTCTTCAACTTCTAAAGAAAACATTAACGATCACTGCCTTGCCCTGATACTATAACTGAAATAAAGGCTGGCTAACTTTCTTGGCCCAGGGTATAGATTTGTTAGGAAACTGCTTAAGTAGAACACAAGCTCCTAGTGGGCAGGCATTTCACTTTTGTGTGTGTGTCTCTAGCACCCAACATAGTGCCCTGTACTGAGCTTGTGCTCAGTAAATTTATGTTGAATACATGAATCTTCTGGGTTTCTAAAAGCAAAAGAAAGAATGCAAATTACCCATCTCTTTCCTTCTTCGGTCTTCAGTTCATCACCCCGAAGTGGGAACATGTGAAAAGGAAAGAAGGAATATTTGTGTGAGCCATGGAGATTGATGAATGAACATTCCATATGTGCATATAGTTCTCTTATTGTCTGTCATTTCTGTCTAGGCTTCATAAAGGAAAGACATTCATGGTCATTAGCCTTTAAGGAGAGGTTCTGAGAATAACGTGAAACTGCATGATAAAAGTGAAGAGTTCAAGAAGGGTAATAGAATGAACACTGGATTTGTAGGCAGATGACCTGGATTCAAATCCTGACTCTGCTGCTTGCTTACCTCTATAACTGTGGAAAAATTACTTTCCCTCTTTGGGTCTCAGTTTCCTTATTTGTAAAGTGAAGGTTAGCCTAGCTGACCTACAAGATCAGATCTCTTCTATGATTCATCCTATGGATTCTGAATTGTAGCTGAGCCCGTGTCAGTATATACTCATGTCTGATGTCTTTTTCTTCCCAAACACTTTGCTTTCCCTTTTCTGCTTGCTTTCCTACTATGTATTGGTAGATGCCACAAAGTTGTTCTCTACAGCATGCATTATGGGTAGTCCTATTGTACAAGAAGTTTTTCCAAGAAGGGCATCCCAGTAGCATCTTGTAGAGAGATGAAATCATTTATTAAATTGATTATTAACAGGAATATATGGCTCAAGAGAGCCAGTTGTTAATTTTCAATGTCAGCATTTGCACCTTGGAAATTAGTAATTGCTACAAATTGAGGGTCTATTTGTTTTGTTGATTATCTTGATTTAAGAAAGTGACAGAGAAAATTTCAATAATGAAAATTAAACTTCAGTGTATGTACTTCTCCCCCACCCCCTCCCCAGAAAGCTGGTTGTTAAACATATACTAGGACAGCACTAGTTACTGATGTTCTGGAAAGCTTCTTTGCGCTCTGTACTTAACTTCCAACAATCAACTGTGCAGAATGGAGCCCAACAATAGTCCAGCACCTGGCACACCACTGGCGCTTAATAAATGTTTATTGATTGAACTAACAGTTCATGTGAAAAGGATCTGCGGTTTCTAGTGTACTGCAAACTTAATATAAGTTAATACTGTGACATGGCAACTGTTCCACGCCCTGCCCTCCCCCCCCAAAGTCCAAAAACCAAATGTAGACTTAGGCTAATTAATAGAAGTATAGTATCCAAAAGGAGGATGGGGTGATAATCCTACTTTATACTGTCCTTTTCAGACAACACAATAGTATAGGGTTCAGTTCTTAGTACCACATTTTGGGAAATGACATTAATAAGCTGAAGCACATACATAGCATATACAACCAGGATGGTGAGGGCCCTAGAGAGCATGCCATGCAAGTATCAGCTGAAGGAAACTGAGCATGTTTAGCCTAGAGAAGAAATGGCTAAGAGGTGAAATCACAACTGCCTTTAAGGCAGCATGGAAAGAATGCTGGTGATGGAGTCAGAGAACCTGGGCTCCAGTCCTGCTTCTGACATGAACTACCTGGGTGACCTTGGCCAAGGCCCTGAATCTTCTAGGATCTCAGCTTCCTTGTCTGTAAAATGAGAGTGTTGAATGAGATAGATTCTGAAATCCCTTCTAGCTATTTTCTATGATTCTAAATATATGATGGACTAAATATATGTTATGGAAAATGAATTAAATGTGCTCTGTTTGGCCCCAGAGGGCATAGTTAGAAGTAATGGGGGAATAATTTAGGAAGATAGATTTTGACTAGATATAAGAATAAACTTTCCCATAACTAGAACTGTCCAAAAATGGAATGGGTTCTCAGGGTTGAGATGGAGTATCAAGGTAGTGGTGAGTTCTCTGTTTTGCGATTTCAGTCGTGTCTGACTCTTCATGACCCTATTTGGGGTTTTTGTGGCAAAGATATTGAAGTGCTTTACCATTTCCTTTTCCAGCTCATTTTACAGATGAGGAAACTGGGGCAAAGAGGGTTAAATGACTTGCCCAGGATCACACAGTTAGCAAGTGTCTGAGGCTGGATTTGAACTCAGGTCTTTCTGACTCTAGGCTTGGTGCTCTATCCACTGCACCATCTAGCTCCCCTTGAGTTCTCTGTTACTGGAAGTTTTAAAGCAGAGGCTATATGACCACTTGTCTGAGGTATTATAGAAGAGATTCCTCTTGAGGGAAAGAGGTTTGGTTTAGAACAGGTGTTCTTAACCTTGGGTCTGTGAATTTACATTTTAAAAAATTACTGTATTTCAATATAATTAGTTTCTATCATCATCCTATATATTTCATTTTATGGATTTAAAAATATTATTCTGAGAAAGGGTCTACAGGTGTCACCAGCCTGCTAAAAGAGTCCATGGTTTAAAAACAGCTGATTTGGGTCATGTCCCACTCTTAAGATCCTTTGATTTGATATAGTGAGCAGTTTGTTTCTAGAGTAATTTTTCACACTTCAGCCTCACTGCAGGAATAACTATTTGCCATTCCCTATCATTTTATTTTTCTTCTTCATTCATCAGAATTAGGTAGAGTGTGTGCATTGACCATGAACATGAGCCCTGTACTCAGTTCCTACTAACTCCTAAAGGATGGCCAATGAGACTAATGATTTCACTTAAATTGCTCTGGCTGTTTATGGCCATTCAGTCTAGAAGACACATGCAGTTTACCCACTTTGTATCTCAAATGACAGAAGGAGATGAGAAAAGACTATATTAGATATTAAGGGATTAACAGCTCAGTACTTCATGAGTAGAATGTACTAAAAACACCTGGCTATCAGTAGATACCTTTCATGCAGTGGCGAAAAAGGACTAAAGTAAACTCAATTAACCCTAACTTTCTATCTCTCAGCACTCCCAAGAGAACATGCATAGTAATGAAGGTAGCTGTACAGGGATGGAAATGCCTCCCCCCACCCCAGCCGCCCCCAGGATGATGGATCATTTGTCAAGCAAGTCAGTCAGTAAGCATTTGTTAAGCCCTTACTATGTGCTGGGGACTGTGCTATTCTGTGGATACAAAGAAAGGCAAAAACATGGTCCCTGCCCTCAAGGAGCTCCCATTCTAATTGGGGAAGATCTGCAAAAAATTGTGCATAGAAGATGTTTAAGTGGAAGGTAATCTCAGAGATTAGGGGCAGCTAGATGGTGCAGTGGATAGAGTGCCAGGATTGGAGTCAGGAAGACTCATATTCCTGAGTTCAAATCTAGTCTCAGATACTTACTAGCTGTGCTACCCCGGGCAAGTCATTTAACCCTGTTTGCTCAGTTTCCTCATCTGTATAATGATCTGGGAAAGGAAATGGCAAACTGCTCTAGTATCTTTACCAAGAAAATCCCAAATGGGGTCATGATCAATCAGACATGACTGAAACGAATTAATAACAACAACAATCTCAGAAAGAAGACACTGGGTGGTGGGAGGGAGGAGTATTATGGGGAGTGGGAGTGAGACTAGGAAAAGCCTCCTGCAGAAAGTAGAATTTGAAGGAAGTAAGGGAAGCCAGGAGTTAGAGGTGAGAAGAGAGCATTCCAGGCACTGGGGGACAGTCAATGCAAATGAGTAGAACTGGAAGATTTAGTACCTTGTGTGAGAAACGATGAGAAGGCTAGTGTTGCTGGATAGTATAGTAGGTAGTAGACATGGTAAAAGTAGAAGAGGATTAGAAAGGTAGGGAGGGGTCAAGTGGTGAAGGGCTTTAAAAGTCAAACAGGATTTTACATTTGATCCTTGAAGATCTGTTGTAGAGTCACTGGAGTTTATGGTGGAGTGACATGGTCAGACCTGTGCAATGGTCTGGGGAGTAATCTGTACTTTTGCTTATTTCCGTTGAGGGGGTCAAATGACAGTAGCCTGCTCTCCTGGGAGGTCTGCCTCCTGATTACAGACATGAGAGTCTCTCTGGCTTGTTTTGTGAGAGGAGCCTAACTCTGCTGCTGACTACTGTTTTTCAGCAGATGAGGGAGTGATGAAATAATTCCCATGGCCTCATTTTCAGGTGTAACTGAAACTTCTATTCCTTTTGAGTGAATAATTATGGAATATGGGCTTATCATGCTCAAAGGAAACCTAGTATGAAGTTATCTGAGTCTGCAGAAACAATATTGGAAGGATTTTGATAATCCAGTGAAAAGGATGCTTTCACTCCAGTTCAGCATGGGAACACAAATAAAAGGAAGCAGGATTGTTTTTTTTTTCTTTGCTAGAGAAAGAACTTACAAAGGATACCAAATGAATAGATTGACTGAGATAGCATTTTCACAATTAAGGGACATCAGTAGGGAATGAAATGCTAAATACAAGATTAGTACCCTTCAGTTTATAAGCTTGGGGTTTGGAAAAAATAGTTAATGACACTAGAAAATGAAATTAAGGGAATGTTCTACATTTAAAGTATTAAGAAACTTACATGATGTACATTTCTTTTGGATCTGACCCCAAGAGAATGCTTTTGGAGTCAGATGATCTGGGTCTGAGTCCTAGATCTGCTACCTGTATATTTTTGCTCAAAGCACTTAAAATCTCTGCTTCATTCTGTGAAGTGAGAGGGTGGGCTAGAAGGCCTCTCAGGTCCTCTTCCAGTTCTAAATCTGTGATCCTATGAACTATGATTTCATCGATATGGCTTCTTCCTTCACAAATACAAAGCCTTGTTGACTTAGTTTTTTGGGATGCTGTTCTTGAAAAATTCATCAGTTTGTGGGCAACTTAGTGATGGAGTGAGATTCTGTGGAATTAGTGAGGCTGGTCTTTGGACAACAGACATTCAGTCCCATGCTGCATTGGCAGATGGTAGGACCTGGCCTGAACATTATAGGCATGTAGCATGTAGTCCATTAAGGGGCCAATATTCCTAGCTCAGTGGGACCGATCAGCCAGAGCTTGTGCTTCATTGGCAAAGCCTTTGAAAAGTCAGGGTCATGCCCTTGACCTGAATAAGGACTCAGAGTATCAATGAAGGAGTGAGGTTACTCTTCATGTTTTTATGTCTTCTTTTAGTGTTATTAATTAAAATTATCATTTTCTAAGTACATGACTTAAAAGGTTTGCCACACAAAGTTTTAAAGTAGCTGTAGTCATAGGGAATATCTTTGCATTGACTGTATAATCCATTTAAGGAAGCATATCTAGTCCTTAAAAAGACTTTAGCCCATAGGGGGAAGTTGTGTCCTAATGTGTATATATATATTAATTTGATATTTAAGTTTTTTCTTTCATTCTTTGATTTTTCAAGGCAGCTAGGTGGCATAATGGTTAGAGTGCCGGGCCTATTGTAAGACCTGACTGTTGGTTTGAAGATCAAATGAGATAATGTATATGAAATGTTTCACAAACTCTAAAACACTCTCTTGTGTTTTCTTTCTCTGTTTCTCTCTCTCCACTCACAGGGTATTCCAAAAGTCTTAATGTAATTTAAAGATATTAAGGTTTAAGCTATTAAAGTTTAAATTTGTACTAAGACTTTTGGAATACCCTGTGCCTCTGTGTATGTATGTATACATATATATGTGTGTGTGTATGTAGTTGTATGTGTGTGTGTGAATATGTATGTGTGTGTATTGGGTCTGTGATTTCATGGTGTAAGGAACTCTTGATATGGAAACTCTTGTCCATCAGAGCAGATTGTCAACTTTTCTGTAACTTACAGAGACTTTCCCAAGAAAATGAGAAGTTAAGTGGTGTTTGCTAGGATAACTCAGGTAGTCTATTTCAAAGATTCCAAGATTGGAGCTCTATTCATTATATGGCATGATGCCACGATGTGTTATATAAATGCCAATTACTATTATCTGTTAATTGTTTATTTTGATGATGTTTTTCATTTACTTGAAGATGATCTTAGCAACTTCAACATATCTGAGTTCACTATGAAGTTCCTTCTTATTATGTCATCCATAACAACTTTAAATGAAAAATCTGCTAATTTCACTGCAGCAGGTTTTCTAGAGACAACTTGCCTATATTCAGCATATTCAGAATTTTATTCTTTCCATTTTCATTTTAGTTTCATACATATAATTTCATGTGAACTGCTACAGACTAGCATTGTGAAATGAAGACAAATGAGTCTACTTTTGTCAATATTAAGGATTTCACTGTTTATTATGTTCACTTTTTAATATTTCCCTCTCTAGAAGTTACACAAATCAGTGGGGCATGGAAACTTAGAAAGAAATAAACCAACCAAGCGAACACACACAGAAAACTATTTATGAGCTTGTCTTATTCCTGCTGACTCGGTGTATCCTGTGGCTTTAAAAAATAGACAATGAGTATTCCAGAAAAAACTTTACCTGTACTCTCATCTCCCTGCTCCCTGCCATTAACCTAAGATACAGGGAATCATTTTCTGTGCATGTTGGGGCTGAATTATAAACCTGCTGTGGATTTTTAAAATAGCCAATTATGAACCCATCTGGGGGTGTGAGATGGATGCTTGGCATAATGAATGGTTTTAAAAAGTCTTGCCAAAAACCACCCACCACATTAGTGTGTTTTGATACTGATGGATAAAAACAAGGCTGCTTTCATCAGCTGTGGGTTCATGTGCCAGAATGCTGATGGTGAGGGCAGTTGGAAGACAGTTTTATTCTTTCCTTTTGCCTGATGGGATTTACAGATGGTGGTATTCTTGTATGGGATTTGGAAAAGCTGGTTGCATGATCATTCTCTAAGCTACAGGCCAAAGAGGCCTTTATATCCTTATTTGATCCATCTTATAAGAGCCAGTTTTATAGGAGGATCATTAAGAACATTGCCATCAAATCATGGTTGAAAAGTGTAGATGAAGGAGTGATTTCCTCGGGCAGAAGGAACTCAGTTCATTTAAAAATGACCCAGACTCATGTTCATCATTGAAAATCCTACTATCTAGAATGCATCTTATTTTTAGGATAGAACTGAAAGCCAAACCCTGGAGTGAATAATCCATGTTTTGTATTGATATAGCTTTTAAAAAAAAAAGTAGGGAGGTAAGGAAAATACTGAATGAGGGAGTTAGATTTTCATACTCACCTAAATCCTAAAACATGGATTTCTTTGAATCCTGGAAGTGTCTTAAATATTTTTTGCATCTGGAGAGAGAGAGAGAGAGAGAGAGAGAGAGAGAGAGAGAGAGAGAGAGAGAGAGAGAGAGAGAGAGAGAGTAAGAGAGAAATGATCTTGTAATGTCCCTCTTTTAGACTTCTGAGTCTTCCCTAACTTGAAATAATGCCCACCTGGAGAACTTTTTGGATGATTTACAATGATGGAAGAATTAAGTACCTCTTGGAGAGATATCTAACAGGAAGGAAGGAAAGAAATAAGCATATGCTAAGTGCCTACAATGTGGAAAGCACTGTGTTATGCACTTTACAAATATCTCATTTAATCCTCTCAACAATCCTAAGAGATAGATACTATTATTAGCATAATAAATCAATAAAGGAGAATGGACATAATACTTAGTCCAAAACACTTGGATTTGTTTGTAACTCGCTCCCAAATCCAGTCCAAGTGCTCTTATTTTCTTCTTGCTGTTATTTTTCCTGCTTTAATTATCCAAGTCATTTATGATCTGCCCTAGTCTTCTGCAATATTTTCTCTGAATAAGCTATGAGTGCATTTGTAGGCAAAACTAGCTGGTGCTTGGCTACTAGGTTTTTATTTATAAACCTAGGAGGTATGCATAATATTCTGAGAATCACCCTTAGTAAGTCCAGAACAATTACGTGTTGTTAGAACTAGTCTTAATGTGGAGATGTATACTAAACATAAAAAAAGATGGTTCAGTAATATCAGAAACTGTGCAAAATGACTCTGGAATTTTGGCTTCCATGTACTTTATAAAGCATTTTCTTAATTGATTTGACATTTCACCATCCTTTGTGTATATCACCATTTCATTCTCTATGCCGTGTTTGCAAACACAGCAGCAGGAGACTGCATTGTTACCAAAATGAGTAATTAGTCATTCTCAATTATGCTGCCTGAACAGAACAGTAATGCAGCTAATCCTCAAGTCACTCATTTTGAGCTTCAGACCACATTTATATTGATTTACCTGTGTTAGGTTCTAGAAGACTCTAGAACCTGGTAATTGCCTGGTGGTCCAGCTCCTAGGTGCCAGATACCATACGAAATATTGAACAAAATCTCTGCGTGAATGCTAACCTGGTTACTACACCTATGACAGTCTTTAAAGCTGAGACATTGGCTAAGGGGAGTTGAGTTAAATAACAAATCCAGGCCATAAACAATTTTGGGTACCTTTCTTTCTTTGCTCTGCTGTGCAGACCCTCAGATAAAGCACTTATTAAATGCTTACTATAGACCAGGCATTGTGCTAAATGCTGGGCATTCCAACAAAAGCAAGAAAGGCAGTCCCTGCCCTCAGGATGATTGTATTCTAATAGGTGAAGAAAACATAGAATGGAATGCTGGAAAGGAAGAGGAGGAGAAATGGAGAGGTAGGAAAGTGGAGGCCTGGGCCCCTGACAAGATAAGGTTGAGAGCTCACCTATCTGACCCATTATGACCACCAGAGAGCTCCAGAAACTGGAAAAGTTTTCCAGAATCTCTGATGCAGACCAGCTGTGCAATCCTGACTAAATTGCTTAGTCTCTCAGTGCCCCTAGACAATTCTCTAATGTTATAAATTGTAGGGAAAATGATAATCTGTGTCAGTTGAGGAAATTCCTCACTGGGAACTTTCTATTTTGATGACACCATTGGACTGATTCATATCATCCCCACTTTACTTGTCTCTCCCTTGCCCCTCAACAAAGCACCTAAAGTGAAAAGAAAATCACTGATTAAAGAAGACCTGTTTGAGGAATCCTACTTTTCATACTTGCTAACTGTGTAATACTGGGACAATCAACCATTCTGAGCCTAAATCTCCCTATCTGTAAAATGGAGAAGATGTAAGGCAGATAATAATAATAATGTAATAACATATGATAATATAATAACAGCAACAGTAATGATAGTTACATTTATATAGTGCTTTGCAAATATTATCTCATTTGATCCTCACAATAACTGTAGGAGGCAGGTGTTATTATTATTCCCATTCTACAGTTGAAGAAACTGAGGCAGACAAAAGTTAAGTGACTTGACCACAGTCACACAGCTAGTATGTGTCTGAGGTCAGATATGAACTTGGGTCTTCCCAGGTTCAGCACACTATCGATTGTGCCACCTAGCTGCCAGCAGTACCATTTATACTTACTTTTGTGAAAAAGTACTTTGAAAACCTCAGAAGAACACTATAGAAATGCGAGTCATTATTATTATCATTTTCATTACTGTTTTCTACTTATTATACTGTAGGAAAATGGTCACTGGTGGCAAGATGACCTGCAAAGGCAGCTGGGTGGGGTTATGAAGAAAGAAAGGGGCTCAGACAATAGCAGCCAATTCCTCTTGGACATTTGTATTAAATTGCTCATTAGGTTTATTATGGAAATTAAATTACTACCAAATGCTGTCCATTAATTCCTGATTAGGCCCAGATGACTTCTAATGCAGCAGTAGGGCTAATACTAAGCTGATTGGCTTTCTACTATCCAGCTTTTGCGGGATGTGGGGCATGTTTGCATAGCTGGCCTACTGGGAGGGCAATTGATTCAGAACCAGAGGATTTCCTTTTTATGGGTGTGTCAATGATGGTGTAAAAGTAAAAAGTGGGGAGGGCAAGAGACATCTCTTTGGATTTCACAAAACTTTCCTTCTTTAGCTTAGTGGAGTTTCCAGAGTGCAGAAGCATGACACCCCCTCATTAACAATTTTTAAAAATGACATCCATTAGGCTGTATGCCTAATGCTCTGTATGAGCATTTTCATTGACTCAGAGCTAAAAATGAATTCATCTAACCTGTCCATTTTGTGGATGACGAAACTGAGGCCAAGGGGAGAAGTGATTTGGTCCAGTTATATATCTAAATAGTGGTAGAATGAGGAGGAGATCTAGTCACTGGACTCTCAGGCCATTGGTTTTTGTACTATGCTCTACTCTTTTATTTTCTTCCCTGATGGCTCAAAGTATTTGTTCACATATTATTGTTGATAAGTAACAGAATCATAGAAGGGATACCAGAGATTGTGTTCCACCCATTGTTTTTAATTCTGCCCTCTGAGGCCAAGCTGAACAAATTTCATCCCTTTTCCATGTAACAACAGCCCTTCAAATATTGGAAGTCAGCTATTGTGTGGTTGAGAATATCAGAGGAGGAAATCTTGCTCGTTTATAAGTCAGCTAGGTGTAATTTATTCCTTACCTTGAGCTTGAATTTGTATTTTTGAAGTTTCTATGTATCGCTCCCAGTTCTGCCCTTGGGGCCAAACAGAACAAATTTCCTCCCTCTTCTAAGGGACAGACTTTCAAATACTTGAAGACTGCTATCTCACAGTTAAGAGATGTTGAAGGGGAAAAATCCTGCCCACCACTTCTAACTCTTAGTCTCTCTCTACTACACCATGCTGTTTCTCTAATAGAGAGACACACTTTGATGGGCAAATCCTCTTATTAGCCCCATTTTCCTTATTTTCTAGGTTTTGAAATTTCAGTGTTCAGGAGATGAATTTTATCTTATCCTATTATCAAGAGTTGTCTGGATGGTAATTAAATGCCATCAGGCTGAATGGAAAGGATAATTTATCCTGGGCAGTACAACCTGAACACCCGCCTGGGAGCAAATAGTTCTGCCAATGAATGCCAATGCCTGGTTTATGGTCACCCCTTTCATGTTTTACTGGCAAAATTTCTGCTGCACTTGCCTATTTTCTAATCAGCTGCTCTTCTAGCCAGGATTTATTGTGTGTGGTACAGCAGGCCTTTCACTGAGAACCTTGCACTGAACACTTTGGACTTGTCCTCGGAACCTTTCTGTTTCAGACACTACATCTTCTATCTTAGTGCCTGTGCACTAATGATTCCTCACACCTGTAATACCTTCCCTCCTAGCCTTCAATTTTTGGTCTCTCTGGCATCTCTAGTCAAATTCCACCCTCTACGGAAGGCCTTTCCCAGTTCCCACTACTGTTAGTGCCTTCCCTCTGAGATTACTTTCCATTTGCTCTGTAAATATCTTGTCATATAATTTTTTTCTTTTTTGCGTATTGTCCCTCCACACTATTGAGTCACTGAATGGGCATTGCCTCTGTCGAACTGAGACCTGATAAAGACCTTAGTTTGAAAAGGCCAAGGTCCCCCATTGCATCTTGGGCAATCTCCAGTTGTCCTGATCTATATCTGGCCATTGGACCCAGATGACTCTGGAAGAGAAAGTAAGGCTGACTTACTTTACTCAAGGTGACTTTGCACAACCCTCTCTCACTTAAATCCATTTCACTTGCATGTCATGGCATCACCTCCTTGATGTCATAGTCCTCTTCGAGAATGGAGGACAAACAACAACCCCTCTGTATTAAAATGTGAGCTTCTTGAAGGCAAAGACTATGTTTTGTTTTTCTTTGTATACTTAGCCCTTAGCACAGTATCCAGTACATACTTGGTGACTGGCCAATTCCATGCCTGTCAGAATTTCATAGGTGGAAGTCATCTGATTCAACAAATCCCTGCGTAGGAGTTGTCTCTGCAATATTTCTGTATTCTATGTATGTATATATGTATGTATGTATGTATTTGTCTATCAATCTATCTACATATATAGATATAATACAGTATACACAATATGGTCACCCAGCTTTGACTTAAGGATCCCTAGTTAAGAAGGACCTATAACCTCCTAAGCAGCCTTTCTATTCTTGAATAGCACAATTGAAAGTTTTTTGATCTACAAAAAGATTGTTTTCCTTTACAATTTGTACTCTTTGTTCCTAATTTTGCTGTCTGGGGCCAAGTAGAAGAATTTGAATACCTCTTCTAGGTGAAAACTTGAAGACTCCTATTCCCGCAAACGTAGGTCATGACCTGGAATCCTATTACCATCCTGTTTGCCTTGTCTGGACACTCTGGTTTATCAGTGCTTTTCATAAAATGGGGTGTACAGGGCTGAGTACAATACAGATGATGAACCCTGATCAAGGCAAAGTATAAAAGGACCATTACTTGAGAGCTATGACTTTTTTT